GAAGTCACCGGTTTGAACGCGCGGGAGAGGACTAGCAAAAAATGTTTTGAATTCTTATTTAAAAATGGCGGCAGTACTGATCTCAAAATATTGAATCAGGGACAAAATCAGGGACAATTTTTGAGTTCTCAACATTTTGTGCTAGGCCTCTCGGTGTGGGCTGCCCCTTCATAACTAACAGAGCGCGCTTGCAAGGCCTGGGATGAGGCTGCATTTAGGCTGCCTTCACAACGTAAGACCGCCTTCATTCTCCGTCTGGATCTGATTGCCTTCATCATTGTCCTAATCACTATGCTGTCATTCTGTAAGTTATAAAAAATTAGCAACCTGCAACAACGACGAGGCCAAAAACTGTGAACTGCTACACATCTTAGGAACAGAAAATTCCTAGTATCTCGAAAAAAAGAAAGCTACGACTATTATAGCATGATGCATGCTAAAACCAGTTCGTATAATTAAGTCGATCGCCAATAATTCTAGGGCTATTTTAACTTTATAAGTTCATTTCTTGAACGCCGGAATGCTATAACTAAGAATACAACAACCACCAAAGCACAACAACAGCACAACTCTAAGCAAATATGTATTGAAATTGAAGGACGCTAAATTAGGTCCTGTTACATGATACCATTTTTCTTCCAACTTGAAATGCAATTCTACTTTTGAGAGATGTATATTTAAGAAAAACGAAACTTTTGTGTTTATTACACTTCATGGACATTACTTCTGTAAGATTCTTCACTAATTTACATCTCTTAGAAGTAGAATTGCATTGCAAGTTGCAAGAAAAATTGCACCGTGTAACATGGCCTTAACGTCGGGTTAAATTATTATTACATGGAAAATAATTAAGAAATGTAACGCGTATTCATATGATAACCTGTTTATCACACATACTTGAGTGCCTTTAATCAGCTCTGACCTCAGGTTCACTATTATTGAGAAGAAATGAGGCTTTAAATCATTTTGGTTTATAGCAGTAGCTTTTAAATCTTTTTGCCGGACCTCAATATGTCTTTCAGAGTAACGTGGCCAGAAATGCAGGCCATGCGTGATTTACGCAAATTTAAAAATCGGATATGTCGTTCCGTATTAGAAATGTGTATGGAATTATTAAATTTTATCTCTATGTAAAGGCCCTGTCACACTGTTGCGTATAATAGGAACGTATGAGTCGCGTATAAAGATCGTTTCATTCATTTTTATACGCACGAAAAAGTCTGTAAAAATAGGACATTTTGCATAAAATTAACTTATTAAACGTATGAGTATCGTATGAGTAGCCTGTCGCTGGCGTATGCCAGCGTATGAATAGCTTACGAGAAGCGTTAGAAATGCGCATGTCAAGCATACCAATGGCGTTTCACAGACTTTAATCGTATATAAGCGGCAGTATTTTCACACGGCTCCATTCGAGAAAATGTCAAACCTCCAGTGAAAAAAGAAGAAGACACCATGGCAAATACGAAGACATCATCTACCCGCGGACGAAGGAAAGGAAAGAGGACTCCATCATCAGCCGTTGCCAAAGCTGACGAACAACGTGTTTGTGCACCTGTACATGTAGTTGAACCACCTGATGATGATGCACTTATTCCTGAGACATCTTTGAATAATGCGCGACATGTTCCTGAGCTCTCAAAGTCCCCAACACAACCTTCCCAAGACTCCCATAATTCATCGGCTTTATCATCTGAAACCATTGATGACTTCACTTCCTTCGGCGGGCTGATAGCAAGGAGAAAAATAAGAGGAAGAGGGCGAAAAAAAAACCCTACAACCTCAGCGCCACAGAAGAGGAGCTGATGCTGGAGTTTATCATGGACAATCCTGTGCTGTGGAATGTGAAGATGACAGATTATAGGCGAAAAGACAAGAAAAAGAAGATCTGGGAAGAGCAAGCACATCAGATGAATAAGACTGTTGACATCCTCAAGGGCTGGTTCAGATCGCTGCGCGACACCAATACGCGCCTTGACAAAAAGAAAAGCGGGGATAGTGCTCCAAACCTGACTAAGAGAAACAGTGGATCCTCTCAAAGTTTGCCTTCCTGAAGACTGTCACTCGCCACCGACCGGAGCTCATGCAGAGTGTAAGTATACAACCATATTACCTTAGCAACATGATAACCAAGTAATTTGAGACAATTTCCACATGATATTTTTGGTTTTTTTAGGTGAAGGAAACCATCCAGCTTCACAGAGGAGATCTCAATGCTGCCGAGAGCGCCTGCGCTGATATGCAGATGTCTTAGATGAAGTCACTCCAATACCATCATCTACCGCTGGAAGGTCCCACAAGCGACCTCAGGACACAGAGAGTGACGTCCTTGAGACTCTACAGAAGAGAGTTGCTGAGTCTGGCACCATCCTCAAAGACATCTACAAAGCTAAACAACAGCCCATTACAGCACGAAGTGTCTTTGCAAATTATGTTAAAGAGAGCCTTTTGACTATGTCCAAGTCCAAGTACAAGAAGGCAAGGTCCTCCATCAATAGGTTATTGTCTGAACTCATGGATGAGGACAGCGATGATGAATTTCCAAGTGCAATGGCGGCTCCATCTATCAAAGTGAACCAACAAGGGATCCCTTCTCAACCACCCCACGATTTGCACCCCACTACAAAGTCACCCGAACATTACTAGTCTTTCAGGATTTCGAGACATCATGGAATCTACTGATGATATTGGATTTCAGGATGAGGTTCTCAACCTTCACCACCAACGTGAAAGAAGTATTGACTATAGACCACGGCGGCTGTATGGCTTCATCATTGTCTCTCGGAGGGCAAAGGCATCGTCACCTACAAAGAAGTAGGGGACACTCTGATAGTCATTTGGTAAAGCATCGGGGATGGGGAATCCTATAGTTCCGTCTTCTGTTAATTCTTTGATTTCAGAGTTGTTGTAGATCTGTGCGTCCGATGATGACCCTTTACCACCGAGGTCTGCCCAGATGAATTTATAATCTGCGTCTACAAGGCCCATGAGTACAACAGAGAAGAATCCCTTTTAGTTGAAATATTGGGATCCACTTTTTGGTGGACATTTGCAGGCAATGTGCTTTCCATCTATAGCACCACATGTAGGGGGAAGTTCCACCTCTTGAGGAACTTATCAGATATGGCACGCCATCCCTCTGGCGTGGTAGGGCAGGTCATTACTTCGGACATGTATTCGTCGATGATGGCTTGGCAAACCTCTCTGACAATAAGTGACTGGGTGTTGTGGGGGACCCGGCCTCCATCCGTACTTCATGGCTGAACGCGTGCTCCCAGAGGCAAGGTGTCGCAAAGTCAAAGAGAGCTTCAGCCCAGGCTCCAGGGGTCGCCTATACCAGGTATGTTTCTTGGTGATCCTGCAGGGACTCGCTCTTGCTAGAAGCTCATCAAACATCTCGGGGACCATCCGCATAAAGTTCTTGAAACATCGCGTATCCTCGCTTCGGAGTTCCACCAGAAGTTGGTCGTAAATGCCAAACTGCCTTCGCCTTCCGATCCATGATCTCATCCATACCTCACGTCTTTTTCTTTTTCTCCTTTTCCTTCTGTTATTTTCTATGTGACGAATCGTCAAAGCTATGAGATCAAACTGGTATTCAAGAACAGCTAACTCCATCCTTTATCCTCGAAGGTACAAGATGATATGAAGGCATCCAACATAAATATATATTATAGACAAAAAATGACATGCTATAATATTTATAATTATACCCTTTCTCGTAACGTTTGCAATACGCTGAAGATACGACGACTAGGCGTTAACTATACGCTAATTGTACGGTAAATGCGTTACTTAATCGTCAGTCATAAGCTAAGCCCTCTATAGATGTTAAACATACGTCATACATAAGTTAGACCTTCGTTACTGATGCGCTATCAACACGTTAGTTGTACGGCACACTTACTCATTTGCGTATGATTAGCGTACTCAACCTATTAATACAGTACATTTAGCGTCCTTCTGCCGTATTCAGCGTATGACTAGCTTATCTTAACCGTATAAACCATACGTCCAAACACGCACATACATTTTTAAGCATGCTTAAAAAAAATTTTCTTCCTCGGCGTATACCAGCGTTTGTGACCGTGCTCGGAACGTGTATAACTTACGCACGACGTACCACCAGCATATTTCAGCGTATTCCGGCGTATGCGTGATATTTATCATACGCTGCCATACGCTAATGTGATACGCAACAGTGTGACAGGGCCTTAACCCACAATTGAGAAGTCATGTTTGTCCACACCCAAAACATAAATTTCATCGACTAATCTTTAAGTCTAGATGCCTGTGTATGTTCCCAAGAAAGAATTTTTGTGGATTGAAATTGTACATGAAAATATATACTCCGATAGAATATGTGTTAGTATTTGCTTTGGAGGTAAATAAATCTCGTAATACTTGTCACAACTAATAAGCGTGCAAGTGTATTGTCATAAGCCTGCAGCCTGTTTGAGCTAACTTTTGTAATTCTTATAGTTGAAAAATTACAACTATCCGTGACCAAATTTAGGTGCCAGAATGTGTTATGAATTAATATCATTTTCTATACAGGATCAGTTTTCTTGCCACTCCCTCTAAAACACATGAAAACATTTCGCCTACAATCATATGCATGAATGCAGGGCAATGCCTATATATATATATAGGCATATAGATAAGAAAAATTTTGAGTCGTTAGTATTCGCTTTGAACGTATAGAATTTTATCTATAATAATTATTGTCGCATGTGATTCTTGAAATAGATCAGTTCATTTCTGGTTTCATCGCCGACTGTTACCGTTATCTATTATTTAATTTAAATAATAAATTTTATTTAATTTAAATAATTGAAAGGCAATGATCGCCAAAATTAATTACGTCGTGGAAGTCGTCGTGGAAGGATTCATGAAAAAATGACTTTTCTTTCAAAAAAAAAACATCGAAGGGAGTTGTTTCATGCCTTTAACATAGTTCTTATAGCTACTTATAAAGTCATTCGTTTTTTTCTCATAGA